CCCCAAACCAGATGTGCACGTATATGGCCCCCACCCCACAGCTCCTATGACCTCCCCACAACCCCTCACCCCAGGAAAGTCCTCAGTAGCGCAGGGATTTGGGACCTCAAGGAGCAATGGGATGTGACACCCCTCCCCCCCCAGGCTGGGACAGACCTGGAGCACGATGGCCGGCACGGAGAAAATCATGGCCTCGTTGAACACGGGGTTGGTGTCATCCCTCTTCACCGCCGTCTTCTTCTTGCTGATCTTCCTCCCGTCCTGCAGCAGGTACACCTTGACGAAGGGATCTGCTCAGGGTGGGGGGAGAGAAAAACCCTGGGGTCAGTCATGCATTTCCCCTGCGATATCCGTGGGGGAAACCACCTCCGTAGGGTCTGTCCTCAACGGGAGCCACTCCAATAAACACCCGTGCAGCGCAGGAGGATAAACCAGGACGAAAGCCCACCTCCAGCCCACAGAAGACCAAGGGACCCCTGCACCCAGCCGGCATCCCCCGCTCACCTGCAGTCACTTTGCCGTTGGTCCACACGAGGTTCTTGGCTTTGACCACCACCACCGTCAGGCGCTCGGCCGTGGGCAGGTAGCTCAGGCAGAGCAGGATCTCCCCCACCGTGTCCACCGCCTGCAGAACGCAACGTCCTGTCATCACCCACCGACCCCAGCCTGGCCGGGAGGAGAAAACCCCCCAAAAACCTGGGTGGGAGATGGACCACGCTCCCCCACTCACCCTGTTCATGTCCTGCAGGTAGAGCCAGGCGTTGAAGGGACGCGTGGCCAGGTCCAGGTCGGAGAGCTTGAGCTCGGCCACGCCAGTGCTGACGTTCCTCTCGTCCTCGTCGATGCCGAAGACAGAGAAGCGCAGGCTGTTCTCCTCCAGCGCCGCTGGGTCCAGCGGGATGGAGAAGCGCTCGTCGAAGGCCACGGCGTAGGCGCTCCGCTGAATCTGCCGCGGGGAAAGGGGGGGATTGCCCGGACGGCCGCCGGGTTTGGGGGCCACGTCTGAGATCTACCCCGTTTCTCTGGTGGGAACTGCGAGGAGCGGGGCTTTGGGGCGGTGAGGGCAATGCATCCCCCTGCCCGAGGAGCTGGGGGGTCCCAGCCTCGATGGGGACAACGGTTGTTTCCCACCTGGCTGCAGCAACTGGGGTAGAAAACAGGCGCCGTGACCTGCCCCGTTACCCACTGGTTCTTTTAATTAAAAATTTCAGGTTGGTCTGATGCTCTTGGATGCAAGAGCTGGGCATCCCTGGGGGCTCGGACGTGTGGCCAGCTCGGCCACTCCAGGCTACAGGATTTGACCGAGGGGGTGCAACCCCCAGCCCCGCTCTGAGCCGGAGCCGACAGGCTTCGCAACCCCCGACCGTGCCAAAGGGGGATGATGTTTTTTGCCAGACACCGTCTCCACGTCACATCGTTCACTTGGAGCACACGCAGCAGCAGCTCCCCGGGGCCCCGTCCTGCAGGGTGCTGGTCCCTACCTCCAGGCTACAGGATTTGACCGAGGGGGTGCAACCCCCAGCCCCGCTCTGAGCCGGAGCCGACAGGCTTCGCAACCCCTGACCGTGCCAAAGGGGGATGATGTTTTTTGCCAGACACCGTCTCCACGTCACATCGTTCACTTGGAGCACACGCAGCAGCAGCTCCCCGGGGCCCCGTCCTGCAGGGTGCTGGTCCCTACCTGGTCCCAAAGTGCTGGGGGGGGGAACTGCTCTGAACTCATGCCTTTAGAGAGAGACTGGTTTTCCCCTATTCCAGCCCTGTTTCTTTTGGCATCCAAAGTACCACCCACAAACCAGGATTTTGGCCCAAAAGGAGGCCCGGCGCGCCCAGGGGCCGGGAAGCCGCAGCCTTGGACGGTGCGGAGCAAAACGGAGCCGCCAGCTCCCCGCTCCCCACCCGAGGCCGGGTGCTGCGGTGGCAAAGGGATCCCGCTGCGGGACCAGGGGGCTCAGCCCTGAACCCATCGGGCTGCATCACCCCAAGAGCCGCCCGGACACCCCAACAGCGGTGGGGAGACGGGTGGTCTCATCCCCAGGACTTGCTCCCGCCTGTCTGCCTTGTCCTAGAGCTGCTCCAGCCCTGGGGTGAAGGACACGATGCAGCTCAGGAGGCGGCACCTTCCATCACCCCCTTCCCAGCGCAGCGGTGTCCCGCTCTCCCATCGGGTACCACCGACCTCCAGAGCCCCCGGGGGGATTAAGGCACCTCTGCGGGAAGAGCAGCTTTGCAGCTACCTGCCCGAGAGCAGGGGCGGCTGCCTGCCCGCGGCCAGCGCTCTCTTTGGGGTCTCTGGGCAAAAGGTACAACAGAAACGATGGCTGCAATTATACAAAAATAAACCAGCGTAAGTACTGCAAAGCATTAAAGGAAAAGAACCAAATGTGTCTTTATGACTTGTCTCTGGACAGCAGAGGAGGGTAAATAGCGCTGGTGAATTATAAATAATTATGCTAAATAATAAATATCTCCAGAGCATAAATAAACAGCCCAGTCTTTGGATGGAAAAATAGTCTTAAAAGGGCACTGTGGAAATATTTTAAAGGCAGCGGTTTCGTGCTCGCTGCATTGGTGCCTCCGCCCCCGCAGAAAGGTTTCGTTAGTGGGGGTGAAGCTTTCTGGGTCCTTTCTGGAACATCCCGATCAAATCAAAGCGGCCGACTCTGCGCTTTGCAAAAAGCAGCTGCTGAAAGAAAACTCGAGGCTCCTGCTTTCCCTTTGGGGCACTTAAAAGGGAGGTTTCACCCCAGAACACCCCCGGTTCTGGCCCTGCTGCTGCCGGTGCGTCCCGCGTGGGGAGGGAAAGCTGCCGCGGGACGGAGAGGCGGCTGCGGGGCGCCAAGCCCGGGCTTCGTTCGGGCGAGTCCAGGGTGCGGAGACGCAGCACGACGCCAGCAGCAGGCGCCCCAAATGCCGCCTCTCCCCAAATCCCACCCCGGTCCTCGTCCTCCACCTTCCGCAGCGCCCCCAGCCCCCGGAGCAGGGCGGTCGAGCAGGAAAACTTGCCACGAGCCGCGCTCGGAGACAGCGAAGTCACGGCACATCCCAGACAAGAGGGAGAGGTTTCTGCCTCCGCCGGGTCTCTGATGCACAAATCCACCCGGGACCCCCCTACACCACAGAACGCCGAGACCCCCCCAGGGCCCCAAAACCCCGGCCCCAACCATACCCAGCCCCAGTGTGTCCGGACCACCCGAGGCCCCCGAGGCCCCCCCGCTGTCCCGGGGAGCTTGGCCAAGGGACACTGCGACCCAAAGGCGAGGGCTGCGGGGGGCATGCGGCGAGCGACGCCCCGTACCCACGGGGGTTTCCGCGGCAGAGGGGCGAGGGGCTCACCCGGGAGATGCCGACGATCTGCTCGGCCGGGAGCAGGCTGATGCGCATGAAGCAGGACTCGAAGCGAGCGTCCTCCTTCTCCAGCAGGTCCTTGCCCTGCAGCAGCGTCACGTGCAAGGTGGCCGCCTTCCCGTCGTACTCCATGGAGACCTCCACCTGCCCCACCGTGAAATCCTGCCCAAAGTTGTTCCCGATGGAGGAGACGGAGCTGAGGGAGTCGGCCGAGATGGATTTCTTCAAGGGGCCGTAGGGGGCCAAGCCCAGGTCTTTGCTCATCAGCTCCAGGCTCCCCAGCTCGTTAATGCTCTCCAAGGTGTCGTCCGCCCGCAGGCCGGTCTTGCGGGTGGGTGAGGTCTTGTCCAGCGCCCGCTGCGAGCCCGGGGCCACCCCTCGCTGCCAACAGGGAAAGGAAAACCAGGCGATGCAGCGCCACCCCTTC